TTCAACAAATTCTAAAATTTTGTTTACCAAACTTGAAAAACTTACTGAATATTTCTAGAAAACTTATTAGTTTTTTTAAAATTTCACTATATATATATTATACTCTTAGCAAAAAACCTATAATATTTCTATATTCTACTATATAAACCTTACTTAGTACTCTAAATCAGTGATAAGAATTAGATATGTCTAATTAAATTTTTTAATTAGACAGTTTTAGACATATCTAAAACTATTTAAAACTGTTCAAAATTGCCCAAAATTGTCCAAAATTATATTTTTATATTAGAACTAATTTGTTCATTATATTACTCTTATTTGTATTGTTAATAGATATCTATCTGGCCATTGTACTAAATTTAGTATAGCGCAAAAAAATAATTATAACATAACTACAAGTTTAATTTTAACTAAAGTTTGCAAAAATATAGATTACATATAGCTTTATATATGTGCAAAATTTCAATACTAATTACAAATAAAAGTTTTGTAAAAACTGATTATAAACTATCACTTTTATTTAAAAATTTTGCTATACTAAATTTAGTATAGCAAAAAAAAAATAATACCACCAAAACTGATATAATAAAATGATATAAAAATATATATATAAATTGTCTAAGATCGACTCTTTATTTTGATATATTTAAGTTATAAAATAACAATCACTAAAATAACTAATACATACTTCCTTTAAATCATTATATATACAGTGATATCTTGTTCTTGTACCACAGTATATATAACAAAGCTGTGGATAAATTGTAATATTTCGAGATTTTTTTCTTTTAGAAAGAGGTGATAATTTATGCTGTAGCTCAGCTTGTGTTCTTGAATATTTTTTGAATGAATTTGGTAATGAATTTCTTAAATTAAGATATTCTTCATTAAGAATTTCAAAAGCCAATTGTTATCTAAAATCAAAATATAAAATATTATATGCTCCTTTATACTATTTTTTAAATGATAAAAATGTATTGGCTTTGGCGATTTCAAGTAAAAAAACAAATACATACATCTTCTAGTTTGATCTATACATTATATCATGAAAAAAAGTCATATTATCATGAATCTATCAATTAAAATAAAGTTACAATATTTTAAGTGATATTTAATAGTTATCTTACAATCAATTATTAATATTAGCTTCTAAAAACAAAGATAATATTATGCATTATTAAGCAAAGCTATAATAATACACAATATCAAAGCTGATATTAATGACAGATTTATGATGTAACTAATTAATTTATAAACTTGGTAGCTTATAGTATTCGATCTTCATTCAGATCAAATATTGAAGTTATTGTGTATTTTATAGTTAAAAATATTGAAGTTATTATGTATTTTATAGTTAAAATTCTGCAGAAAGCTTATAATTAAATTCAAAGTAACTATAATTGATTAATAATACTCAAAAATAAGGGCCAGAGATATATATTTATATGATAACCAAACAAGTAATTAAATACCATATATAAATAAAAAAATAATAATAATAATAATGAAAAAAAATATCTGGTTATTAATATCAATGACACCTTTTGAAAAAGAGTATTCAGAAAAGATTTTTGGTCATGTAAATTTAACTAATGATGAATTATTACGTTTTTTGACTATATATTTAATTTTATCACCTTGCATTGTAGTTAATACAGTTGCAATAATGTATTGTGGTTTTTGATCTTTTAGAGATGCTGCAATTAATTGCATATTATCAACAACTGCAATTTTTGAAAAATAAGACCCATATATATTTCTAAGTTTTTGAATCATATCCTGAGAGTAATTAAGTAGCCATTCACATTTTTTTTTAACATGGAAAATACTATACAATCTATTTTGCATTAAAAGTAAGCAAACTTTTGGTGACCCAAACCAACTGTCACCAATAATAGTTTGTCTACTACCAAACTACAGTCATGCCAATCAAAGTACATAGACAGCAGTACTACTATATTCTGATACAAACTGTTTATTTTTTTTAATTTTCTTATCTTTACAAGACTTTAGCTAAATGATAATATTTGTAGAGCCATCAGTGATTGTTTTTCACTCTTGTCCAACTGGATATGGTTTATGTGGTATTTTGCAATGATCTGAAATCTTATTTTTTCATCTAACCATAAATTAATAGATTCATCAATATATAAAGTACTTCCAGGCTTTACAGTATCAACTAAATTGCTATTAAAAGCATTAATAAAACTATAGACAGAATGTAAAGGATTATTAAGGTTTGAAGTATCTAATTCACTTGTTATTATTAAAGTATAGTATAACACTATCTGCTCAAATCGTGAATAATTTATTCAATGTTGAAAATTAAATAGTACTATAGGCTGTGTTTGCTTATAACTTGTTCTCTAATAAAACTGATGATCAGCAACAGGAAAAGCAGATATTAGCACCCATAAATCTAACCATCTTACATACTCATTAATATTTATATTTACTCAATTTGAAGCATCTTTTCTACACCTATTAATTACGTACTGTTTAATATAATTAGGTAGAAGAAATCGATGAAATAATTCATATAGTGAAGCTAAACTTATTGATGAAATATTAACTTCGCATTCATGATTATATACTAAATTAATTGCATATTGGTCAATGATTACTGGTTGCTCTCACCAGTTTATTGAGATACTAAGGTCAATTACATCAATATTCTTCCCTTTTTCATCTTCCAAACTATTTTTACTATTATCAGAAAGTTCATCATATACTAATAATAATTCTGTTACTGCAGATTCTTCTTCTTCTCTGCTTGTTTCTCATATTGTAAATTATTTGCAAGGATGTCCACAACTACATTTCAATTTTATCAAAACTCACTTGAAATATTCAGTATTTTTTATAGTTAATTTTCTAATAATTGTACTATTTAAATATAAATTCTTCCAATTTTCTCTATGAGGCCATAAATGTTGTTCTATTATATCCTTTGGTAATACCATTGCTTTACAGCTTGCCTACCCTTCAACAGCTAATTTTTTTGATATTCTTAGTATTGTGTATAATAATAGTAAAAAATACTTGCTATTATTACTTAAAAACTTGCATTTGAATTATTTTTTTGTGTTATATTTTATACTTTTTTAGTATATACTTTTAAATTTATTTATGATTTATCTTTATAACTTTATAGATATGCCAATTAAAATTATTAATTCTTTTCTCTAAATATAGATAAAAGGTAATGAATTATATTTTTGGCCAAGTTATAACTAGTTAAGGCCAGTTATATAAGTAAAAATTTTTTTGAAAATGCTACCAATATTTGATCTGCAGATCAGATCAAACTCTAATAATTCTTCCTAAAAAAAACCTGCTTGCATCTAATTGCCAAATATATATTAATTATTTTTAATTACTAAAATAAACTTTATATATTTATTTATATATCATATAAATTTTATATAATAGCTAATGGTTCTTTTTATTTTATTTTAGTTTTAAGACTGTACTGAATTTAGTATATTGTATTAAATTTAATACAGCAAACAGATATCTATTAATAAAAGTTGTAATGAAGATTATTACAATTATAATAATAATAAAATTACAAATTTTGATTTAGCAAATCACTAGATAAACTTTATAATTTTTAAAAAGTATTTTAGTAACTATAACCGGTGGTGATCATCACTAGTGTATAATTAGCCAATAAATTTGCAGGATCAGGTGTAATGTACAAATCAATTTGTATAACAAAAATAAAAATTTTTTTAAAAAAATAGCAATATCTCAAGAATTCACCTATGAAACTACCTTCAACATTCTAACAAAAAAAATTTCTTGCTAAATTTTGCATATATCTACTATATTGTTAAAATCTTAGGCCCCACCCTAACCCTGAAGTAAACAAAATGAAATTTTTTTTAGTTCATTATTATTTGGCTAATTATATACCGGTGATGATCACTGCCAGTTATTTTAACTAAAACTCTTTTAAAAATTTTGAATTATTTAAGAAATTAAAGAATTATAAATTTTTGGTTTATTTTTGTAATTTATTAAACCAATTTTTGTGATTTTATTATTATTGAAATTATAAATACATTTCTATAACTTTTATTAAAAATACAAATAAAATTAACAAAAAAATAGTTCTAATTTAAAACCTTATCTTATTAAATTTTTTTATTAATTTATCTGTAATTCTATTGGCTAATTCAAAATAGATAATTATATCATTCAATAATTAAAATATTTTATTTTATTGATTTTATCTAAAATATTTTCTATTTGGTTAACTAGTAAAAATTATATATATATATATATATTATATAAATTTGTCCAAAACTAATTAAATTTAGTTTTGGTTTTGAACAAGATTTTGAACAGGTTTTGGATATGATATTTAAAAACCAAAACTGTCTAATTTTTCAACACTGCTCTAAATAAACTTATTTCTAAGACAAAAATACACTTTATACTAAAATTTCAAGATAATATCCTTTAAATTCATTTAAAAATAACTCAATTTGTAATAAACTTCTTTTCTTATATCTAAAATTTATCTAACAAAAATTAACTATATCTCTATATTCTAATAAGTAAACCTTACTTGTTACTCTAAGTAAACTTGACCTTGAGACTAAAAAATTTATTTTTAAATATACTTAACAAAAATTATACTATAACTCAAAAACCAACTAAGACAATTACTCTTAGTGTTCTAAGTAAACTTATTCCTTATACTATATTACATATATTTAAAAAATTTCAAGCTTAATACTTTAAAACTCACTACTCTAGTTAGAAAAAATTATATTACTCACTCATTAGATTTATCTATTATTCTACAATATGTTTCAAACAAATTCATCTCAATGTCTATTTCCTTATTACTAGCTTATTACTCACTAGTTTTCTGACAATAACTTCTCTAACACAAATTTGAACTAACTTCTTGATTGGTTTAAACACTTCCCAGTTCTAACAACAAATAGCCTTTTTCTATTTACTTAGTTAATATTTTAAACAATAAACTTTCTAAAGCCTTTTTTTGAAAATTTTTATTCAGGTTTAATTGTCTAGCCTAAAACAGATAATAAACTAGCTCTTAAGAATAATTTTGATCTTTTAATCTATACAATAGTCTTTCAAAAATCTAAGTTTATTATAAACTTTATTCGAAATCAAAACCCTCAAGTTACTGAATCTATAGATATTCTTTTGATATTATTCTTGAAACTTTTAAAAGATCACTTTTAGCAATTACTACTGTTCTTTTTGAACATATCAACTATTTAAAAATAATTAACTTCTATCTTTTTATTTTTCTTTACTTTATCAAGAAATAATTTTAAATTATTATTAACTTGATTGGACTTTATCTTTTTCTTACTAATCAATATCAAATTATTGATCACTAAAAATTTTTTCAAGATTTAAAACTTAAACCAATTTATTTACAAACTTTTTTTTATATTAACCAAATCTAAGATACAGATATATATAACAAATTTACAATATTTCTAAATTTTATATTAATATCTCTATTTACATATCTATACAAAATTTTTAACAACTTACTGCATTCCTTCTTTTTTTTTATTCTTAACAGAATTTAATAAGTGGGTTTAAAAATTTTTTAATTATAAAAAACAATTTAACACTCTATAATTATATTAAATTTCAAATAGTAATAATAATAAACAACAAATACAAGAAACTTGTTTCTAACAAAATTCACTTTTTCACTATCTCATCTATTCAAGACTATACAAATACTGCTATCAAAACTGTATTACACCATATATATACATATATAGATCTTATCAAATACATAATTCTTATACCAAATATTATATACAATCTTTATGATTTAACTATCTACTTTTTTAAACTTTCTTTTCAAACCTTACCTGCTTCAAAATATATTTATCTAACTATTGATAACTTTATCTTTTTATTTAACTAATTTTATATTGCTATTTTTTCTACTGCTTTTTCTTTTAAAGATTTCTATGAATTTGCCAACCAAGCAGAACAAAAATTTATTACACTTAACCAAAAATTTATCAAATCTGATAAGTCAAAACTTTCT